AGCTCAGGAGTTAACATAAGAGTTAGCTCAGGAGTTAACATAAGAGTTAGCTCAGGAGTTAACATAAGAGTTAGCTCAGGAGTTAACATAAGAGTTAGCTCAGGAGTTAACATAAGAGTTGGCTCAGGAGTTAACGTAAGAGTTGGCTCAGGAGTTAGCGTAAAGTTCCCCACACACTCGGGTGTACTTTGGTCTGCGGAGGTCCGCGCGGACTCGAGGCGGACTCAATGCGGACATGAAGAGGACATCCGCGGACTGGTCCGCGCAGACATCAATTTTTTACGTCCGCGTCCGCACAGTGGCACGTACTGTTCTGGGTGCGACACCAAGCTGATAAAGTTGAGAATCGGTGTCATTTGTGAACGAAATGGAGTCAAATCTTGAAAAGCGTCTCATGGAGGAGATTAGAAAACGTTATGATGCGTCAATGAAGGAATATAAAGACTTTCAGCGAGCAACAAATTCATGGGAGGAAATAGCTCAGATCCTGGGTAAGGTAGTTCTTTTCTTTTTTCTTTTATTGTTTTAAAGCTAAAATGCAAACTATCTCTTCCTCCTGATCCTTGACATCACGACTGAAATTGTGAGAAATTAAAGAATTCGTCAGGCGGTCAGTACGCTCGAGTATGAAGTCTCAACCGTTCACAGTCAATATGTGCGTAGTCTGCGCAGCTCATGGAATACGCGCAGTATGTGAGAGCCTTGAGAGTTAGCTCTGGAGTTAGCGTAAGTGTTTGGAAACTTAACCTTTTCTTTATTATCTAAGCTGATTCTAACTTTATCAATCACCTGAACTAACTCTTGAGCTAGTTATTGTATCATCGGTAGTTGTTACACCTCAGGTTTGAGTCATGGCTGAAACACTTCTTCTGTTCAACTCTTTCATGAGTTTCCCTGGTTGTCTCCTGCAGGTAAGATACTGACTCCTCAGAAGCACGTTGACGTCCTAAAATACAACCAACCATTTACCAAAGGTGAGTGGCTGTTTCCCACTGCTTTGTGTTTGCAAAGTTAAATAGAAAAGCAGAAAATGGGGGTTCCCAGACCTGCTGTTTCTGATCAAACTCCTCTGACTTCCCTCCTGCTCGTCGTCAGGAGTTAAATCACTCTCTGGCACAAACACCGAACCCATCTGTGCCACAAAAACAACATTTTATATGAACAGACATGTGGTATTTATTAAGAGGACTCAACAGACTCAAGTCATCAACCACCGCTTTATTGAACTCGAAGTAAATACTTTTCATTAGCTTCTCTCTGTTTTAATTGTGCTTCATTAGAGAAAGGCTTCAAACCACACGGGCATTCTTAAACGCTGAGGAGGAGAGCTTAATGAGTGCAGATGGAGTTGTTTGGAAGTCAGCTGATGTTTGTTTTACATGTTTGGGTTCCCTGCAGGAGTGGGGGTGGCAGGTAGACGTCTGGAGCTCCAGGTGGTCTCATCATCAGCGGTGAGGAGGCAACAAGCACTAAAAATAGAGTTTTTCATGAGCTGATTAGAAAACATTGAGCTGGAAGCAGCCGCCTCATCTCCAAACTGCAGCTCTGAATCTTTTTATTCAGACAGTTTGTTCTCACCTCCACAGATCAGTCCAATATAAAATATTTTAGAACAATCCACAACTGCAGTGGTTGCACCAACATATTTTTAGACTTCTGAGTGTTAAAAACAGCTG